CCACCCCTATGAGTCACTTCTTTCAGAATTCTCTGAAATGTATGGGATCGAATTGCTCCCAAAATTGCTGGCAGACCCAAATTTTTAAAAAGTACACATTATGAGTCCTAACATTCACCAGAATTTTACCTTTTGTCCTTTCTGATTCTGATTCTATTCAGAAATTCTGATCCCGATATAAAAGACTGTAAAGACATCCCCTTCTTTTAATAAGTTGGTTAGTTTTGTATTTTTTTTTCAAAATAACTGTTTAATTTGGTTTTAAAAAATAAATAAAAATATAACTGAAAATAGAGAATGCCGGGTGAAAAAGCAAGTTATTTTTATTATAATATTTTTAGCAATCGGCTTTCCTGCTTTCGAGCTTCGGCCTTCGGAAGTTCGGGACTTCGGGCCTTCGGCCATTTGCCTTTTCCCTTTGAAAAAAATAAATACTACTGTCATCAGTGACTCACAATCACACTGTCACAGTCTCACAGACTGGAGTCTGGAGTCTGGACTCTGCAGTCTTGCTGTCTGCATTCTCAAAATACAAATAAATTTGTGAGGGCGTGAGCCGTGAGGCTATACAGTGTATTTACAGAATACATTGTACAGACAGCACCGGATGACTTACGGTTTCGACTGTTGCGTGTCGAGTGCGTGTCTGACTGACAAGCCGTTTCCCGTTAAAACTTTTTCAGTTTGATAGGCGTTTTCGGGCAACTTTCAAAATATTTATGTATAGCCTATAATAGCCCTAAGGGCCCCCCTATGTATTATATAGGGTGCATATATTCGGTCACCAAGATTGTTTTATTTTCTATATTTGGCATCAAAACGACATGCGCGGAGTTCATTTCGATAGAAATAGGTGACCTCAAAGTGGAAAATTGAAAATTTTGTTAGCAGTTGATAGCTATAAACGTTTAATAAATCGAGTAATATGCGTTTCCGTTTATCTTCTATTCAGTATAACGTAACGGCGGTAACGCAGGGAGGTTATTTGGTGTAAATATAGTCTGACATAGTAATAACGTAATGAGGTATATATTTAATTTTGTACAGTCTGACTAAAAAAAACCCGCCTCTACACTCCACTGCCTACAGTCTGCATTCACTACTGTGATCTACACTCTACAGTCTACAGCTAAATAACTCGCAACCTGTTCACTTTTCAGTAGTCCGCTTCGATGGATGTTCAACAAGTCAAAAACTCGTATCTAGACTCTAAGCCTCAAGAGGCACGATTAATTTAACAAAAAAGAAAACTAGAGAACGGCTGAATATTTCTGCAGTATGGAATGTATTTTACATATAACTATGTACGCTTGTCATATATATATAGTATTTAGAATAAAAATGTACATACATACCTAACATATGGTCCGATCGGTCGCTCTTGGCCAATCACATCGCAATTAAAATGATAATAGACGAATATCTGAGCTTCTGAAGCCGACGGCTAGTCGGCTACCGGCCTATTTACCGCTGAACGTCTGAGCTCTGAAGGCTACATATTTATTTATATATTAATAAAAAAAAGCCAGTCGGCTATTTTTAGTATTTATTTCACTGAAACACAAACGCTATTTATCGCAAAGTGGTACATTTTGACTATATGTTGAGTGTCATAAATACATAAATATTCGGATCCGTTGAGATTTTGGTTTTTGTTTTATATATATTACAACAATATGTAAAAAAAAATACACAAAATAGCATCATCATATCTGATGCTCGGATTTCGAAATATAAATTAAGGAATAATATGACTCTGCTCCATGGCTCAAGTATATACCAATCAATTTCACAGCGTGATTTGAAATTGTATCCAATAAGAAAGGTGTTGAAAATACGACAAAAGGTTGAGCTGCTATTTATTGATGATTGGCGGAAGGTCCAAAAATTTCACCATCACGTTATTTACGGTCCCTTTCTCAAATCAGCCGATTTCCATTTCGAGATTCCTGATCTGTCTAATGTCAGCTGTCCTGTAGCATACTATTGAAATGTTGTATTTGATTTGGTTGTCGACTGTAGTAGGATTGACACACGAGTTTAGAATATCTGACAAGCATCGTTCACTTTGAGATGTCGCAAAAGAAATGTTCACCTGTCAATATATTTATCAGGCCCTCTGTTTCAGAGCACACAAAGAGTAAAACTACCCTGCCATATTTATATTTTATATTTATACGTATTCAGCTGAAATTCAGAAATTGTATTTTTATATGCATGTCCACAGTTGTCCGCCCCAGGGGCCCAGCAGCAGGGTTAGTAGCGGCGACTCGGCGACTCGGGCGAGTAGCGGCGACCTGCGGAGTAGCGCCCAGGCCCCACTCTCCAGTCCCTGGCCAGCCGTCTACTTCAAGTTCCACCGACCCCAGCTGTTCACATTTTATTCTGAGAAGGGTCCAACTGTCCAAGACTCCAACACAAGGGGATAGAAATCGGGAATGTATATAAAACAAGCAGTTGCGTACATATGACGAATCAATCGACACACAAGCACACTCAAGACACTGAAACCAAGCTATTATATAATTTCAAAACGAGGTGTAAATCCTTGATCCGAGGTTCGTCGTCAATAAGCTTCGTCTTTAATAAGCCTAAGTTCCAAACTGAGGTCTCTGACCCTGTGCACACAAATCCATACACATACACGAGAACAATATGGGAAATACTCCATCTTCTAAAGCGTTGGACGCTGGCTTCCCACGCTACGTTGTGCTCGAAAGCGTATCAATTACACACTCAGAAGACTACTACGCCTTTGCCGAGAAGGATATGGTGCGACAGACACAGAGTAGCCACAGCCGACTTTCCGAAAATATAGCCCCAGCTGCTACATATACGCTAGATTCTATCAGAGGGGCCACGTTCCGACCTATGCGATTATCAGACACTGCTTGTCTGGATTACACTGACCTGGATGACCAAATATGCGACCAGCAAAATAATAGGTTTATGTTCAAGAGCCATGCTTATACACCTTGCCACTCGTGCTGAGGGCAACTATCCTGAACAGTTGAATATCAAAATTGAAATCGTGAGGGAGTTCGAGCCTACTCTTCGTATCACAAAGAATTATCTCCTCATGATGCTGGTTAGACAACCTGGTATATCTCACGGGAGTCACAATGTATTAAGCCATAACATAAATCGGTATCGGATGAACTGCCGATCGTACGGAAGTAGGAAGATAAGGACTGTTGCGGACATAGAATTCAGGTGTAGCGCAGTTACTGAGCATCCCTGGTATCCTACTTGGATGTTCCGCCGATACTACAGATAATCTTCTTTAACAGCACAATTTAGCAGCGGGAATTCGTGGACAAGGGTTTCAAGGTTATAATCGCCGAGTAGTAAATAGCAAGCGATTAACTCCCTTAGTGTATTACAAATATAAGACGTAAGATGAAATATAAGCAAGGAAATAGGCAGGAGGTATGTTATAATCTCCTACGGATAGTACTGCAAGGAACTTTAGTCTAGTAAGACTTGAATGATCCGATAATGAAAAGTAAATATGCCCTTTTTTACATAGTTAGTTATGAAGCCTACACTACATTTAGTTTCCCATGAATTGTAGATCGTGTACAAGATGAAATACAAGCACAGATTGTATCGCAAGGAACTGTCTGGCAAGACGTAAACGACAGGGGAATAAATAGAATGTAAACTTATTTTTGAAACTTTCAAAATCCCCTCGCCCACTTTGATATTTGGATTCATATGTCAGTCGTCGTTCGAAAGGAATGTGGATATTTCAAACAATTTCGAATTCCATAAACCTCTCTCTATTATTTATTGTTCTAAACTTTTAAAGACAAAGTCGGTTGAAGTAGAATAAGATCGAAAACTGGCTTCGTACATAGCCTTCTGAAATGACAATTTAGAAGGGCTTAGTATTTACTACCATATTGACGAGTTGGGTTTCAGGGTTGAATCGTATAGTTTTGCGAATGGTGCAAAACAAAACATGATTATTGTGATGTGATATTCGTGTATGTGTAGATGTGTGTGACTTGTGTGTGAATGGGAACGGATATGCATATATTATGAGCGTTCACACATGGCGTGGTTGTAATTATTGAGTGTTTTCAATGATACTGTGCGGTACAATTAACTTTGCGGTACGATTACTCGATCAGAGTTCAGCCGATAATGCCACAAGCGACCATTCCATACATGATCTACATACATGTCAAATACAGCAACGAAATTTGTCGAGGCATATTTGAAAAAGTTGTTAAAACCAAATCCACTTAAAAAAAGGGGAATCTGTGTACTGATATGCATATAAACATTAATTTTACTCCTAAACCGGAACTACTAAATACTATTGAGAGCTATTTATATCCAATTGTATTGCTACTTGCTTGTGGTGATGCGGAATTGCCTCTCAACTCTCACAAGTACGTGTATGGAATATTAACTATGGTGACGGTCAGATGACTCCTTTGCACGATTCCGGCTTTTTCAAAAAATGCATCGTGCAGTTTTTGATAGTACACATGCTTTTGATTGTACGTGAACTGACAGCTTCAGTCTTTTTATCTTTCTAAACAATCACACAATGGAATAATACGAGAGTAGGACCTCCAGCCATACATACATCTAGTCAATCACTTCATGTGTCTTCCGGTCTTACCTCTGCAGCACATGCCTTTTGAGTCATGAAAACTTTGCATCCTAATCTGGCATTTTGTATGTTGACGGCCCTGATCAGGGATAATCTTTACCTCGCGTCCACGACTCCAGCTTTCCATTTTTAAAAGGTAACTCAAAAAATTGTAGGTAGGCTTAAGTCAAAAGTCTTGTACGTCACATCTGTATGTCATGTATCATGTACGTGTCCAAATTTTTAGACTAAAAAGTTGTCACACAAATTACCTAAGTCACGCTTTCAAGTATGTAATGTGAATTCGAGTGAAGCCTGACGTTGCCATAACATTCTATGCCGCACGATTATACATGTCAATTTGTAGTTTTTCTCTTTGACAATATACCAGAAGGTTGGATATTTGAGAGCTATGGGAACGGTGAGACTATAGCCGCGTAGTCTCACATTTCTGTATCCGTATATCGTAAATCATTACCAAGCTGTATGTGCGTGAGTGTACCACCTTTGTTTCCTATTTCTTGTGCTTCTTGTCTCTCTTCGGCTTCGTCTGTTTAGCGCCGTACGAAGCCAGACGGTCCTCTCCGACCATATTCTCGTTAAACTGATTGCGATTGAACTTACTGCTCCCCTGGTGTTTCCTTTTTCTCGCTCCCTCCTTTTCAGTCTCCTTCTCCTTCTCTTTCTTACTTGCAGGCATTTCGCCGTACACACTCTTGAGCATCTTTTTCTTCATCCATTCGGGTTTCTTCTTGTATGCTTTGGCCTCTTTCTTCATATGCGACCTGCAATGACAAGGTTTAAAAATAAGTGGGAATAAAGCAATCACATGTACAAACACACCACACACACATAGATGAATATAATCGATAGGTGCCCACGATGACAAATTCACGGCCAATGCCTAGTTGATCACAACAACGGTCACGGGATTCGATAAGGTCGGGTATAGTTTGTGCAACTGCCATTCACCAGCTCTCAGATGCAAGCTTCATTCTCTACACACACAAGTAATGGGGTGAAAGTAGATGGCACTACAAGATAACCGAACACGCACATCTACGCACATATTCAACGCAGTATAAGGTCGCACATACTCAGGTTGGTATTTCTGAATCCTTCGCAAGGACACCCAGGAGTTCAACTCCTTATCGTCTGCAGCAAGGATCTCGTCTGTGGTGAGTCCGTAGTCATTGGGAAGCACTTCCCTGTACTTGAACCTCACGGGCTGGTCACCAATCTACGAATGTAGTAAATAGGACAATGCAGTGTTAGGACGAACTCAGTCATCACTCTAGAGAGAAGCAGAAATTGACTCTTCAAGCTGATATTCATTCTTGAGAACTCCTAATCAGTACTTGCATATGGCAAATATTATAATCTGAAAGGCCTAATTAGAGGTGTCAGCGCGCTTTCGTTCACGTTGTAGCTGTGCCGAAAGCTTTCACATGTACTTTTACCACACAGAGGCTCTATGTGTAGTTGGGGTGAACGATTCTAAGTACACCGATGACCACACATGGAATCGTACAGAAGCGAGTTCTTACGGGCACTTTTAGTGGCAATGCACACAGAGAACATACAATATCTTCGAAGTCCAACTTGTAGTACTCTTCCAGGTACTTCTCAAAAGGCAGCTTCTCCGGATCGAACGCAGGCTTGTCACCCATATGTTTAAGTAACCTAAAAGTGGATAAGAAGGCACGAATAGATTAAGCACAGACTCAGGAAAGGGTCCTTGCACACGTACTTCAACTCTTGTATGTCAACATACACGGACCGTACGGCCTGTCACTATACGTCGGTAACCTTGACTGCGCTGGTGAGTTTCAAGTCATCCATAACAGAGTGATGTCAACTAGGGGTGTAGAGTACTATAAGACCAACTGGGGCGAACGGCACAATTGAACATATATGTCCAGCAATGTGGTCCTAGCAGCTATTCCTATGCTAGAGTCACAATAACCTGCTGAGATAGGACACTGTTTCTCGGTATCACTTTGAATGTATACACGTATATATACACGGGAACGCACATATATATATATATATAGACATCACAATCTATATGACAATTTTTAAACACATACGCACACCTACATACAAACCTACATACACAGCTGCGTACACACCTACATACCTGGCCATGCGTTTCTTAGTCGCCTTCTTGCTGGTGGCCACAGGGGGTATGTCCCCTGCTGCTTTGCTGGCTGATGCCATGCGTGAGGGGTGTATGGCCATGCCTGGCGTCTTTGCTTCGGCCGTCTCCGACTCTTCCGGTACATAATCTGAGTTGTACAGAGATATTAGAAGGTGCCGTGTAATCGATACGGTGTTGGGTTGGCATGCAGCCGTGAACGATGTCGTATATTGGCGGTGTGTCTAGATATCGATGTGATTCGTAACAGCTGCAGACACGTGGTGTGCGGCAACCAATGCATGCACGACGCAGCAAACACGCGACCACTGCTATGTGAAAGTAGCCTACCTGCATCTACTATGTGAAAGTAGCCTATCTGCATCTACTATGTGAAAATAGCCTACCTGCATCTACTATGTGAAAGTAGCCTATCTGCATCTACTATGTGAAAGTAGCCTATCTGCATCTACTATGTGAAAGTAGCCTACCTGCATCTACTGCGGTAAAGTAGCTTACCTGCATCTACTACGTGAAAGTATCTATGTGAAAGTAGCCTACCTGCATCTACTACGTGAAAGTATCTATGTGAAAGTAGCCTACCTGCATCTACTACGTTAAAGTAGCCCACCTGCATCTACTACGTTAAAGTAGCCTACCTGCATCTACTACGTTAAAGTAGCCCACCTGCATCTACTACGTTAAAGTAGCCTACCTGCATCTACTACGATAAAGTAGCCTACCTGCATCTACTACGTTAAAGTAGCCTACCTGCATCCATGATGAAGTCATCCTCCTCTTCGTACGCGTTGGTCTCCCACTCCTCCATGGCCTTTTTCTTTTTCTTTTTCTTCTTTTTCTTGCCGTTGCTCGTGGCTGCGTCTTCCGCGGTCTGTGCGTAGCAACCGGATGGGGATTGATACACAGATATAAACGACCGGCGAGCGTTCTGTGTTGGCTATGTAATTCTATACACATCGATCTGTATCCGTAAATCTCTTATGTATTTCTATACACATCTATCTGTATCCGTCAATCTCTTTTGTATTTCTATACACATCTGTTTGTATCCGTAAATCTCTTATGTATTTCTATACACATCTATCTGTATCCGTAAATCTCTTTTGTATTTCTATACACATCTGTCTGTATCCGTCAATCTCTTTTGTATTTCTATACACATCTATCTGTATCCGTAAATCTCTTTTGTATTTCTATACAGATCTATCTGTATCCGTAAATCTCTGTATGTATTTCTATACAGATCTATCTGTATCCGTAAATCTCTTTTGTATTTCTATGCACATCTATCTGTATCCGTAAATTTCGCCATGCAGTACACACGATCACAAAAAGACAAGTGTAGGTTAATCTACACACAGAAAGTTCAGACACACGTTTAGACACACATGACCACTCAAGAATACTTTTACCAATGTACGTGAACGCAACCGTAGAACCCGAAACACCCACTGCCATAGGCATGCGAGGGTTAGCATATGTAACTTTCGCATAGAGATGCAAGTGCGGGAACTATTCATAGGTCCACTGATTTTCCAGAATCAAAGCTGAGATAGAACCAAACAATCCACATGCATTCGGGGCTTAGCAGTATAGACCAATGCAACAGTAACAGTGATTCAAGACAGGTTTCAAGTACCGAACAACCTCAGGAGATATATCCTTAAATGTACCAAACTGAAGATAAACACCGATTTATACTTGTGAGTGTGCAACAGTTTCTCTGCTTCACGGTCAAGTGTCTGTGACCTGCTTTTAAACAGAGGTAGGTGTGCACTGCGATACCAATACTACATGCATTATTCACGGAGATTGGCTTATAAACATGCCCTGGGCGAGCACATATTTTCTATATACATACATACATCAAAAATCTATTTAACACCCGTATACCCTATATATATATATATATGTGCATGAATTAACATGAAGGCACTTCACTTCCATACGTATAGAAACATGCTAATGTACTTCGCTTCCTATATAAGTATACAAGTATACACGTGTCCACATTCTAGAATTCTTATGCGTATATCTCGCATTTTTATATTACGAGCACACACATATATATTAACAGGTATATATGCTCCATTCGTAGATCATAATACACAGTAATTCTTGGGCACATATTTTGCATCATATATATATATATATATATATCATAGCCTTCTATCTTGAAATATAAAGAACTGTTGGAAGACATGTGTTCGCCATGGCAGTTCTCACTTTCACTCTCACACAGAAACAGACACCGCCACTGCCAGCGCGACAGCGACAGCCACAGACATACAAACACACACACATACACATATATATATATATTTATATATATATACATATATATATATATGTATACATACATATATATATATATATGCATATATATATATATATACATATAAAAATATATACATATATATATATGCATATATATTTATATACATATATATAGTTCGCTTACCGGTTCCTCCGTGGCTGGGGCTTGTTCTACGACCTGCATGGGCATATCTACCTCCACCTCATCGTCACTGTCTTCGCTCCAGTTCTCAATGTCTAAGCCATCATCGCTGAATGTGGGCTTCTCTAAATCCTGCCATGCACATTCAAATAATTCTTGAGAATCAAGGTCATGGGCCGTGTGTAAGTGCCATCAGCTACATCTAACAGGGAGCAAACCTGTTCATTGCGATACCCGGGGAACTCAATCCCAGAGGTGGCGTCAAGCAGACCGATTCCTAGAAGGACTCTTACGTGACAGATATCATGGCGAAACTTGGCACGTGAGTCATTGGTTGTACGGGTGGTGTATGCACACCCTCGCCAAACACAAGGTAAGGTTAAGGAACGTAGGCCGAAAACTGGATCCTGCTATAGCGCCCATTGTGTGCAATTATTGTGGACTGCAGAACTGAAATAATTACCTCCGCTGCGTAGTATGCATCATCGAAAGTGTTGGCCATCTCCTTCTCGTACTGTTCTGGGTCGTAATCGGCCTCGATATCCACCTCCACTACAAACATCAGGAAAACACGTATGGGAACGCGTGAGAACAAATAGTACGGTATGTCTAAGTATACACAGATATTGCGCATCAGCACAAATGCTTACCACTGTGTTTGAAGAGCTTCTAGCATGTTTGTAGCGTTACACACACCTATAACCGCGCAACCATATATATCCGCTGACTTATTAAACCAACCCAAACTGCCTAACACTTTGTACTTGCCTACAATGGTGAGTTGACTTCCTGTATAAGTCTACTATTCAGGAGCACAAGTCTCGGCACTTGACATGCCATGCAGAACAGTATAAATACGAGCACACATACGTTCATCGTTTCCAGTGATTTCCCGAAGCTTGCGCAATCGCTCAAGAATCTCAACACCTTTGAGATTCTTTAGTCGCTGTAACTCGGCCTTCTTCTCCTCCTTCTTCTTCTTATCTCGCTCCTATTATAGGTAGTGTGTTAGCGAAACGCATGCGTGTGAGTTGTCGTGACTACTATACCAATACGTGCTGCGCTACTTATTGGTGAAAAATTAGATATCATCATGGCGTAGCCTGCCCAGCGTAACATTTATCCATGTAAGCCTGAAATCATGTTTACATGTATGCTAGTGTGATTCCAGCACAACATATAGGTGTATTGATCTGACAATAAATTGGCATTTACACAGTCATTGACGCTGACGAGCGAACACAACCTGTATGCTGTTTAATCTATCAAAGCACATATTGACAGGGATACACAGGTAGATGTCCAAGAACAAACTTAGCATGGCGACACGCATGGCGCTCTCTGGTTGCTATAGCAACGCTGAAGCCATGTAAGAACGCTTTAAGTACGAAGGCGCACACGTGTGTACGGATGCGTAAACCCCATCCACTCCAACAGTACCTTCTTGGCTTCTCGGGCGTCCTTGCGCTTGTTATCCCTTTGACGCACACTGCCTTTGATTTGTCGGGGATGGTTCAAGATGTCGAAGCCGCCCTCCTCCTCGAACCTGTATCATCCGAGATAGAATATACCAAACGACAACGAGGGGTTAGAAGATGATACCACGGGTAGGTACAGTGAAGTACAGAACTTCCAAACGAGGCCTATAAAGAGCTTGAAAATCGGCCGCGTGGGACAACACTACTGAGCACGATGCCCACAAACACTCGTGAGATTACTAGGCTTTTATACGCTTCTCCTACGTGCGAGTATAATTTGCTTGTACATGTATATAAGTGTGAGTATACATGTTCATCTTTGCAAAGACAACACCTTATGACAACACCATATCCAGCCTACAATCAAAATATCTCTCGAGCTATCCGGCCCTCCAACAAGTACATCACATTTACGCACCAGATATATCTCGTAATTGTACCTGAAATTGATTTTCCTCTCAAAGTCTTCGGCCTTGTCCACTGCCTCCTCATCTTCACTCAGATCAATGTCGTTTCGCCTCGTGAGCCTGCCCGAATCATCTGTGGCCAGTTCTGCATAGGCGTTCTGCGTATTGTCGTTCCACATACGCCCGAGCACGTAGTCTCGCAAGAACTGCGGTGCGGGAATGATAAGATATATCCAGCAGGCATAAGCGAATGTGGATCGTCCAACAAAGGAAAAACAGCCAAATCACACGGTCTCCAATCACAGCGAACCCACAGACATTAGGACCATACACTATGGACTTGTCCCAGATAACAAACCTTCTCGTTCTTGTCCAAGTTAGGGTCTGTATAGTATCGGCGCAGGGTTTCGGTCTCTGAGACCTGCTTGTTGTCCATCTTGACCTCTTTCACCTGCCCAGCCAGCCACTTGAGATAGTCGGCGTTCTCGTCTTCCTCTTCCTCCGCCGTTTTCACCTTCACATCGAAGATGTCTCCATCTCTGTATAATACGTGCCAGATGTATTGCGCGCGTGAGTATATAAGATTGACCACCGACATTGGCATCTGCACCCAACCCAACAGAACACCAGGCATGCGTCTAGTCACTGACATAGAGCACTTGAGACGATAGTCAGTGTGCGACACAGTGGGACACCCACTGCACACATAAATGCCTCGCAGGCCTATCTGTGGCAGAAGCCATTCGGCAGTGACCACCGTCCAAGTGCACGTACAAGACTGGAACTGAAAGAGCCGAGTTAACTGCCGTACCCCATGTATAGATGTCAGTAAGTCTCCCGATGACATCCATAACAGAACTAATGGGGATGGCCCCTTTATGGACAGGTCAATACTACGGCTATATGACTAGCGTACGGATTCGAAACCCGGTCATATATAAAAAGACGGTAACACGCAACTACTCAGCGATCGTATACTAAGCCGCTCTCATGACCTGCAGCAGAGAATCCCAGACAAACGTATGGAAAACTTACTTATAGTTTAGGCTGTGTGGAATAAGCTATCTCTCTCACGAGCTATGTGTTATTGGGAAAGATAGAGGCATGATACGTATGTACGACACAATTGAAAACCGAGTTAGACTCCCGCCACAACCTCCAAGTCGGAAACAAATAAGGGACAAGTTGTTCATGAACCATTCAATGAAGGCTGAAACTTGCAAACACCCAATAGGCTGCGACAATATATGGAGGGTAGATATGGCTCATAATCAAAATCAACGCAAAGGCTATCATGTTGACAATAGGCTAACAAACTCATATCGGCGATTCGTTAATTATACTACATGCAATTCCAATCGACCAAGACGCTAACATTGAACACGCGCCATAGTTCTCCTGTGACTTACTCCTCAGACACCGCCTCCTCAGCATCGCTGTCGTGGGCCATTTTAAATGCGTCCTTCAACGAGGCCATCTCTTCCACGTATGATTTGGTGGTTGTTTCGGGCTATGCAGATCAAATGTGAGAGAGTGTAAATTCATAGTACTTTGAACGCGTCTTTAAACGAGAGTGCAAATATATAGTACGTAACGGAGCAAGAACACGTATCCAGCGTCAAACAAAGGCATGTAATCACCACCACGCCCGATATCACAGTGTTCAAGGCTACTGCGCGTTCATCGCCACTAGAGGCAGCCTTGCACCAAGCCACAACCATGGTCCTGAATATACACAGGAGATACAACCAATGATAGACGTACCGGCACATTGTCTTAGAACAAACCACTTGAACTACCAATGATAGACGTACCGGCACATTGTCATAGAACAAACCACTTGAACTACCAATGGGAGCTGCCTTGGATAACGGCACAGACATCTTCATGCTAACACACAGACATACACACAACCATCGTCAAGTCAACCTATATATAACGACATGGAAAACTGTCATACACATACTTATAATAAGCTGGAGCCTTGTTTACCTTCACATTATCTTGCGAGTGCTTCGTCTTCTGCACCACCAAAGGCAGTCTGAAATAGAACCACGAACACTTATGCACAGACGAAACATGCCCAACATACAATATATACACTATACATTATACAAATATACATATATACATTCATACACACACATATATATATATACATGTATATATATATATATATATATATATATAATAAATAGTATACTATT